CGTGGATTCCAGCGGCCTGCTGCTCCCCCACGTCGTCCCGCTCACGCTGCGCGGCCTCTTCCTCAACTACAGCAACCGCACGAGTCCGCGCTTCTTCGTCCATCCCGCCTCGACGCGGCAGCCGGCGGTCGACGGCGATCTCAGCTTCCTGTCTAACTACGGCAGCGGCTCCAGACGGATCGTGGACCACTGCAACGGCCTCCTGCTGTACCGTGACCTGGGGAGACTCTCCATTGTCAACCCCTCCACGAGCCGTTGGGAAGACCTTTCCTGGAAGGACGATGACGGCTGCCACGACGCGTGCCTTGTGTTCGACCCTGCCGTGTCTGTGCACTACGAGGTGTTCTCGGTCCGGCTTGAGCCCGGGAGGGTGATAGAGAACCCAGCCAAACCCGATTTGATTGAATGCCCACCATCCTCGTGGACGTTAAATGTATTCTCATCCAGCACACGGCAGTGGCAGAAGAGGTTGTTTGTCCGCGAAGCCAAGGCTCCAAAGACAGTGACTAATGTGCAACAACTAGATTCAGCAGAGCAAAGATCAATGTGGTGCCCTGGCAGTGTCTATTGGCGAGGATCACTCTACCTGCTGCATTGTTGTGGTTTGTTTGTTGTGAGGTATACACATCATATATAGCACGTCTCTGCAAGATCACCTTTTCAACACAGGCACTATCAGTTCTCTATATGTGTCACGGACAATTTTCTGATCATATATTGCGAATGAATTGGCCATGTTTGCAGGTTATCTTTATCAGACAGGAAATACCGAGTGATAAAAACCCCAATAAATATTGATGAATGCAAACAAGCACGGCCTTACATTGGGAAATCGGAAAAAGGGGTGTACTTTGCATCAATGCATGATAGTTTTCGACTTCAGGTTTGGACACTCATGGAATCAAGTGAATGGGTAGACTGGGCGTCGAAGAACATTATCGATCTTAAGGCATGTGCAACTGTAAAGTCACATGAATCGCACAATATGGAAGGAACCCTAAAAACTTGGATTTTAGATGGTGGTGGTGATCAGTGGCGGATCCAGAATTTGAAGTTACCCGGGGAGGATTCTAATAGAAATAAAAATTGAAGGCACAATACAATCAAATAATAAAATCAAGTATACTAATAGGCCAAGAATACACATTCAGACAAGACTATCAACACAACGGTTTTTTTCAAATTTATTTCACTCTTAAGAATTACTACGTGAAAAATATATAATGCAAAAATTTATATAAAATCTAACTTCCGAGAATTAGGCTAACATAACAACAAAATAAACAATGTAACCTGCTCCTTGTTGTTTCTGTTGGCTGCTCGCTTGCTTTTTTGATCGGGGCATGTGGCCACGGTGAACCCGTCTCCTGTGCGTACGATCAGTTCCATGATGGATCGGATAGGAGGCTGCGTACAGAAACTAATGGGCTCATCTAATTTTTTACTGGGCTTACTTGACTGGCCCATATCTAAATCTTCCATCGCCTATCTGGCTATCTCTCCCGACGAAACGTTTCTTTCCCCTTCCTTCGTCAAGCTCGCGCTCATATGAAACCGTCGACTGAATCTGCTCGCCCCCCATGGTGTCCATCAGCCAAAAGCAGCAGGGGTATCCTAGGTTACCAAAATTTACCCGGGGCGGCCGCCCCTACACGACCCCACGCTGGATCCGCCCCTGGTGGTGATGATGATGATGTAGATGGCAACAACGCAAAGACAATGATAGAAAAATTGGATTGGGACTCGGACGATGATAGCATTGTGAATATTGAAGATGCTTACGAAGGTATCTGCAATGAGATCCGCTTTCTCGGGTTTCACCCATACAAAGAAGTTATTTTCTTGGGGTTAACATCATCCCAAGGAGGAGTAGGAGTGGCTTGTCATTTGAATAGCTCAAAATTTCAGTATCTAGGCATACTAAGCCAACACACTTACTGGCTTGGCATACAAGGATCGTTTCCATACACTCCTTGCATTAGTGGGCATCTTCTAAAAAGCTTCAGAGAGTAGTGTAAATAATGCATGGTACCCTGGTCTTTGGGTCCTTTTTTGTCTATGATTATTTCCATATAGAATACCCTGCAAGTATTGTCACTAACATATTTGGATCACTTTCCAACCGTTTTTTTCTTCTATTTTAGTATCTATAAAAACCTCTCTCTTGACTGAACTGCACATATGTATGGTATCATATAAAAGTTAACTTAATCCAACTGTTTTTATCCCAGCGATTCGAAATAAAAAAGGTTAGCTACATATCACAATGACACCAAAGGCCGATGTACATCAGCCTCGAATATTTTTATATCCAAGACATATACCTATATAATTTGTGTTTTGAATAAACTTCTAAGACGCACCATGTTTATGTCTGAGATTAAGATGTGTATATTGTTATAAAGATCTTCCTCCAACTCATTTATGGAAAAAAAATCAAGCAAAGTTGTGGAACCAAACCGAGATCGTCTTAGAAATGTCGTTAACACTTGTAGCTGGTTCCAATTTTGCGTACACGATAAACTCACCCATTAATCATGAGATACATGTGCAAATTTGCCATGTTTAATTTTAGACTTTTTTGCGGTTAATTTTACACTTTACTGTTCATATACATTGTGAAGTGAGGACATATGTAGTCAAACAGGAAGTATGAAGTATGGCTTTACTGGAATGAAAATTTGAGGGTGGCCATAACGAGATTGTACAGCAGTCGGATAGTGATACAGAAAGTATCAAATATAATTTTACTGGATGCAAATTTCGACTGATAAGGACCAATGTTTTGGATCCCGCATGCAAAAAAGAATCTCATGGGGGACACCAAATTTTCGGTTACCGCGTAACTAATAAATACCAGGCGGTCAACTGTTCTTTTGAATGAATTTCTGCTCGGTAACCAAATCCCACATGGCGACTCTAACAACATTACAGAGTAGCCGGTTGATCAATATTTTTATACTAGACACGGTCTAGAATATAGCAATGATGTTAGAATGGGACATGATAATTCAAAATGCAAGCTCCACCTTACTAATAGAGGGTGACTATATACATGTGAAGTACTATAGTCAAGTGAAACGTCTCTATGACAAAAATAGAAGATGAAGGGCCTACTGGTTAGAGATCCTGATGTGAAAGGCGATAAAAGCTCTTATCTCCACTACATCCAACACGAGGCCTCCAAATCTTGACCAGGGAGTTGCCACCGCCAAAGCCACGCCGACAACATAATCACCCACCGTCCCTGCCCTCGCTATCGTCATATAGCCAAGAGGAGGCGCTGCCCAGCCCCTGATGTAGCGTTGCTCGCTACAAAGCCACCCACACAACCTCCCCATACGGGCCCGCCACCCTAGTGTCCAAGAATGACACTGTGTCGCCGCCAGAACATTGACTGTCAGAAACCCGACACCTTGGTACACACCACGCATGAGCAGTACAATCGTGTCATAGCACCACGTCAGCCAGAATCGGACATCACCAATGCCGCCCATGCACAAAGGGAGTCCCCAACCACAAACATCAAATCCTAGCTGGATACAACAGCCAAATCTCAACCAAGGATAGAGACGTAAGAAGACGACCAACATCACGTCGTAGGCCATATTCGACCTATATCCTGACAAGGGAGGGGCCCTGAGGCCCACTGCCTCCCAGTCCGAAGTCCCACCCACCCCAACAAGACCAGCCATCCGATCCTTACCACCACCTACTGCATGCCACTAATAGACAAAACCATCCCCAAATGCGCGTGAGCCCTACGCCGACGAGAGGCGGCCATCCCATGCCAACCACAGCCGAATCTGGGCCAAGACCGCACCCAACCAACACCACCGCTACAAGCCCGCCCTGTCACCGCAGCCAAGGGCACCACCGTGCCCCCGCGATGCTGCGAAGTGTACACTTCATCGCCGCTGCAACACACTCATGGACCATGCCATCACGCGCGGCACTAACACCCCGATTGATCTGCCTGCGCCGCCAAGGACCAGCACATGAGAGATGCCCTGCCACCGGCGACGCCGCACAGGCTTCGCCCCAACCACGCCGTCCGACGACAGCAAGGAAGGGGAGGGGGAGGGCATGAGATGAAAAACGGTTACAACCTTAGGACTCCCATGGCACGGACGGGGTACATCGCGTGAGCGAGAGGGGTATTTTTGCAAAACATGCGCAGGGGTCCTCCATGAACACGTTTGTAAGAGGATTGAAAATTATAATGTGAATTATTTTGTGAAATACTCCGCACCTTAGACGGGCCGCAATTATGTATCTCCAATTCTCCATACAAACACACAGCGGCAGCAGTCTTCCTCTTTATCTCTCTCAAACAGAACGAGCCGCAATCTGAGGACTAAGGCGGACCCCGTGCGGCAGCCATGGACAAGACGGAATCCCTGCCGGACGACGCGCTCGCCCACATCCTCGGCCGCCTCCAGCCGTGCGACCTCGCCGCGACCCGCTGCGTGCGCAAGGCGTGGTGCGCCATCGTCGACGGCCGCCGCCTGCTGCTCCGCCACCTCCTCCCGCGGGCTGTGCGCGGCCTCTTCCTCAACTACGGCGACCACTCGCGCTTCTTCGCCAGCCCCTCCTCCACGCCGATCCACAGCGATCTCAGCTTCCTGCCTCGCTGCGGCGGCAGCTCTACAGAACTCGTGGATCACTGCGGCGGCCTCCTGCTGCACCGTGACTGGAGGACCCTCTGCGTGATCAACCCCGCCACCAGGCGCTGGGAAGATCTTCCATGGGAGGACGACGGCTGCGACGCGTACCTTGCGTTTGACCTTGCCGAGTCGCTGCACTATCAGGTGTTCTCCGTCCCTTCCGACCCCGAGAAGGTCGTACTGAACCCACACGATGAGTTAGAAGAGGATTTGATCGAATGTCCACCATCCACCTGGAACATAAACGTGTTCTCCTCCAGCACAAGGCAGTGGCAGAGGAGATCGTTTGTCCGTGAAGCCGAGGCTCCGAAGACAGTATTACATCCAATATCCATGCCATGGAGCCGCCAGAGGGGTAGGCGAAGCGTGTACTGGCGAGGATCACTTTACGCGCAATTTTATGGTGTGTTTCTTGTGAGGTACTGTAGTTTTCTAGCACTAGTTCATCTTTGCAGAATCTCTTTTAATTTCTAGCACTAATTTTCTATATATATATATATATATATATATATATATATATATATATATATATATATATATCTTGGAAAAGGTTTCTAATGTTATTTTTGAATGAATTGACATTTTTATAGGTTATCTTTATCGAATGGGAAGTATCGAGTAATCGAAACACCGATAAATGACGAGGAGAGCATTCCCGTGCAGTCTTATGTTGGGAGATCGGAAAATGGCGTGTACTTTGCAACAGTTTATGATGGATGTCGACTTCAGGTTTGGACTCTCATGGAATCGAGTGAACGGGTGGATTGGGTGTCAAAGAAACATATTGATCTGGGAACTACAACTCTACCATTGTACCCGCCAGATTATATGGAGGGAATTGAAAAAACTTGGATTTTGGACGACGATGATGATGTGAATGGCAACAATAGAAACATAAAGACGGAAAATTTGGACTGGGACTCCGACGATGATAACATTGTGAATATTGAAGATTCTTATCAATATTCCCACACCTATGTCTCCTTTCTTGGGTTTCATCCCTACAAAGAAGTTGTTTTCTTGGCGTTGACATCATACAAAGGACCAGTTGCAATGGCTTATCATTTGAACAACTCGAAATTTCAGTATCTGGGACAGCTAGCAGATTACTTACATGGCGCTCGCATACAAGGATCATTTCCGTACACCCCCTGCGTGACTGGGCATCTTCTATATCACTTCACAGAGTAGTACATTTGGGCTGCAAATAGTCTAAATAATGAAACCCTAGTCGTGGGAGTCCTTGTTTTTGTTTATGATTATTTCTAGCTCACCGTATTGGAAGCAGTATCAAATAATCTTTGGGTTCTTGTTTTTTCTATGTAGGAGGTATTAATTATTACTTTGTTTTAGAGAAAGATTAAGATTAGGATTCAAACGTGGTCCTCTCCTGGATATTTATACTCTTAGTTCTCGAATAAGCAGAATAATTATGTGTGCTTGGACAAGCTTTTGATCATTTGGTAAGTACTCCCTTACTCCCATAACATAAAATGTTATTACAACCTACTCCCTCCGTTCTAAAATAGATGACCCAACTTTGTACTAAGTACAAAGTTGTGTCATCTATTTTGGAACGGAGGGAGTATATATGAGTACGAACATGCTCTGCACACGATTGACCGATGGATGATTTGTGCCCGACGGGAGCAGGAGCCACACAGGTTAAAATCCCCAGCTAATCCTACGGTGTAGCTGACTTGTCATCTGTGGGTCGTGCGTCCATACGTTGTGTGTATAGCAGTGCTCATATGAGTACGTTAGTTGTAAAATAACATTTTATATTATAGGACATAGGGAGTAATTATTTTTGTTTTATTTTTGTAATACTTTGTTTTAGAGAGAGATTATGGAATAAGTATGTGCCATGTATTCATTTATCGCAATTGCTTAGTGCATGAATTTTATTAAGAACTTGTACATTTCTCTTTTATAGTTAGTTTCTACTTTGACGCCATGATTCTACTTTTCTTTTAGAAAGATGGTTGTCGCCTGGCCTTAAAATGAGGCCCTAACGGTAAAGGTTCAATACAAGGCCGCAATGATTCTACCAATAAATAAACCAGGCTCTTTTCATTATATACTTCAAGAGAAGTGCTTTCTGCTTTCCCGAAAGAATTTGCACGAATTATGAAGCACTTGCATTTTCCTAACTCGTAATGGTAGATTGATTGGCACATGATTATGTTAGGAGTTTATATATATCATTACTGTGAACAACTAAATATAGTGTGTTGATGGATTAATTTGGCTAGTAACATGGTGCATGATGTTTCAAAAACTAGCATTCTGCTTGGTTATCTTCAGTTTTAGTTTTGGTTCGGTAGAGTCATAATGTGAGTGACGACTCAGAGGGCAAAATGATCATCTCACTGTTGGTGAAACGTAGGGCGGGCGCTGGTCTTTTTGTAAGAAGTTCCAGACTTTGAGCTAGTGTATTTTTCCTTTATTTCCTGCAATTGCTAAGGAGTTGCTCATGACATCGTTCGGCACAGTCTCAAGCGCCTTATCATCCATAGTTTTAGAAAGTTCTACTGGAGTGCTTCTGCACCCTTCTGGTGCAGAATTCATATGTAATTGTATCTGTGACCAACCCTCTTTTGCTTGATCGATACAAGTGACCCATGCATGGCCCGATGGTCACATAGAATTGTCAGGTGGAGTTGGCACCGCCACCCTTAGATCCTCCTCATCCATCTTGACAAGGATGACGATGATGAGAATAATACGTAGCCGGCTAATGATCATGAGAACTAACAAGGATGATGATCGCACTGGCAAAAGCCAAATAATGAAAAGGTAGCAGGGAAAATTTCTTTTACGCCTGCAGCTGAGTTGGTGTTCTGTACGTCACCCATGAGCAAGGCGGCATTGTTGTTGTTGCTCACCCCGCTGCCAGCGATCCAGTTCAGCTCTTGGGGGTGCACTGAGCTCCTCACCGCCTTTGGAGTTACATCCATGGTGGATAAGGAGGAGCTCGTTGAGCATGATGCTATGTGGTTTGTGGTGCGATGGCCGACGAAGCCAGTGGGTAATTTGCAGTATGCATCACCATCTTTTTTAAGTTGAGACCATGCTCTCCTTTGCATGTTTCGTTTCATCAATAATCATCATTATTATCACCGTTTGGCGTCATCTTGGTCATCATCCAACGTAGTGGAATCCATGAGCTCGGCATAGAAGTACCCCACGTTTGCATGTTTCGTTTCATCAATAAAAGTGTTATGACTTCCACCAAACACTTGTCGTCCGAGGTGCCCGTCATGGACGACATCGCCTAGGGCGAATGGTACCTGGGCGACATGCGGATGCGGGGGGACACCCCAATCTTCGACGCGTTGCTACCATCTGACCATCTGAAGCTCGTCTCCAGCCCTAACCCGAGTCCCTCCCACTCCCATGGACCGTGAATGGTTTTTTTTTTGCGGCGGGTGGATCGCCAATGATCTTCCATGGGTTGTTGTTTTTTTCAGAGTATGTAGCACTAACTTGGTGCTAGATAAATCTATTTAAGGGACAAATTTTTTAGGAGGGAAGCTACTTATTTTGGATTTGTGGTCCGGGTCGGTTTGGAATCCAAACCATACTCAAGTTTGGGTTCGTTGGGCCGGTTGCTTTTAATCGGCTTTGGTTTTCCTCTCCAAACAGAGTAGTCGTCACCCCCCACGCGCTAATATAACCACCGCGGCGCCCCAATCTCCCAGCCGCCCCGTCTCAACTCAGCGCCATGGATCGCGACCGCCACCGCGGCGAGGACCGCCGCCGCCACGACACCGACGGACATCACCACCACCACAAGGCTCGGGATTCCGTGGGGCGCCGCGATTCGGCCGACCGCGAGCCGCCGTCACGGAAACGAAAGGACCACGACAGCGGCCGGGAAGGGGGGAAGCGGCCTAGGGCCTCAGTGGACCCGCCTCCGCAGAAGGAGGAAAGGCCACGGCGAGAGCGCAAGAAGCTTGAGTCAGGTGCTGCTAATGGAGATCCACAGCGCGCCGCAGCGCCTAATGTAAGCATCTTATACTGTTTTCTTATCCTGTTCATAGTTATGTGATTTATGTTTCTGAAATTTGCGAAGTGATTCCTGATATGCTTGACTACCAATTTGATTTGATGAACTCATAATCATACAGTTAGTGATATACCTGTCCTACTACTTTCTGGTTATAAACCTGTAAGAAAGGGTTGCTATTGCATTTGTATGATGAAGATGATATTTACAGTTCATAGCGCGCATTGCTGCTGAAGATGATATTTATATTGCTGCTGACTGTGATACTTATTTAGTGAATGTATGAGGGCAAGCCGGACAAGTACTTACCGTTTTATGTAGAATAAATTTGGTCTACAGTTTGTTTTCTCTTTAATTAAAACGTTCATGTCAGGTTCATCATTAATTGATTCCATTCATATGCTGACTTTGCATCTTAATTTTATTTTGCAGCGCGGTGCTCTCAATTCTGCACCTGCTGCTGCGGTGCCATCTGCTTATCCTGTTCCTTCAAAGGTATATTCGATTACTACCACCACTGAAAACAGGGGAGTTAGTATTAGATCTGACGAAGTTACTGGGAAATCTAGTGCAGATGGAACTGCAAATTCATCCGCTGGCACAAGTAGCAACTTAAGTCTTGATGCTTTAGCGAAAGCTAAAAAGGCTTTGCACCTGAAGAAGGAATTATCAGAAAAACTCAAGAGATTACCTGTGGTAAGACAATACAGCTATTACTGCTAGTCCTTTGCTTCATTGTTCTTTTTAATCTTTTGTAACCATTCTAAGCTCATGTTTCCCCACACAGCGTAACTTACTTGGTACTGCTATTGCCGATACACAGATTCCTTCACAAGAGATTGCTACTAAGATGGGATTTCGCCAGGATCCACAGTATGCACCTCATACCAGCATGTTCCCTGGTACATCCAGTGAAGTGAATGTCCCTGTTCTCCGTTTTGATGCTCAAGGTAGGGAAATCGATGAGCATGGAAATGTTATCAGCGTGACCAAGCCAAGCAACCTGAGTACTCTGAAGGTAAACTTCTTCTGTGACTTAACATATATTTCAGGCTGGTATATAGTTCTGTACATTGACTCACTACTTTTGGTTCATCCTTTGCTAGGTCAACATTAACAAGCAGAAGAAGGATGCATTCCAGATTATCAAACCAGACTTGGAGTCGCTTGCAAAATCTACCGTTCATTTTGATGAAAGGATGTGCATCAACCCAACCAAGCTTCTTCGTCCTAAAAGGCCAGGATTCCTGTTTATCGAGGAAGGCAAACTTTTGAGGCAGGCTGAATTGCAGAGGATTAAGGTCTGTAAGGATTAAACTTTTTTTTGGATATATTAATTGCAGTCCTGTTTTAGTTCATTGTACCTTTGGTACCTAAACTTAATAGTTTGATTTGATTGTGCAGAATCAATTTGGTGAAGCACAAGCCAAAGAGCTTAAAGTAAAGCAAGCTCAACTTGCCAAGGCAAAGGTCGAAGCTGACATGAATCCAAACCTAATTGAAATTGCTCCTGGTGGAAGGCCTCCAAACCAGAAGCCGAAGGAAGAGATTCCTGACATTGAGCCATGGTTTGCTGCTACCTCACTCTTGTTGATTGTTAGGCCTCCTTTATAGTGTACAGCTACTTACTATTCCTATTTTATTTCTTTCCAGGGACTCAAAAATCCTGATTTCTGCCACGTACGAGGACATCTCCTTGGAAAAGCTTAATATGGATAAGATCACCATCTACGTGCAACATCCAGAGCCATTGGAACCACCGGCTAAGCCCATGACACCACCGCCTCAACCACTTAAGCTTACTAACAATGAGCAGAAGAAGTACAGAACACAGAGGCGCCTCGCTACGGAAAAAGATAGGCAAGAAATGATTAGGCAAGGCCTCTTGGAGCCACCAAAGCCCAAGCTCAAGATGAGCAACCTTATGAAAGTACTTGGTGCACAAGCTACACAGGACCCGACACGCATGGAGATGGAGATACGAATGGCTGCTGCAGAGCGCAAGCAGGCTCATGTCGACCGCAACATTGCCCGCAAACTCACGCCATCTGAGCACCGTGAGAAGGAGAGGAAGCTTTTTGATGATCCTGACACATTAGACTATTTTACTGTTTGTGTGTACAGAATCAGAGACCTGTCGAACAGTCAGACACGCTTTAAAGTGGACGTGAATGCCCGG